AATTTTCACATTCACATTTACAAAACTGAAGATTATTTGTGTCTGGGGTGAACAGCTAGCAAAATTAAAACACATTAACCCAGACTTTGTTTCATTACAAGCTAACAAAAAGACAGTGACGGAGATGCTTCACACCTAAAAATAGGAGATACATACATCACTGTAGAATTACTGCTTGCAATGGTCATACATGTGAATGAAGAGCGTAACACAGTAATAAAGACAGGTATGAAGTATAGAGTAATTTGTATCATACAAAGCAGCCTTTAATTGTATCTCTTCCTCAGACCAAAAGAAAATCACACAAATCCCTACATTTAATACCATTACAAATAAAAACTAAGGACAATACACAGAAGAAACCATGTAACAAACAGATTTTAAGAGTTTGAAATTAATTTCAGCTCTTGTCTTAGATTTAACGGCCAGAGAACATTTGCTAGCAATGCAAAGCATGCTACAGACTTCAAAATTTCCCTTCTTTGCAGCAGAGTAAACACACTTGTCACCGTTTGACTCAGGTCAGACAATGCTCTCGATCCCCTCCCCCCCCACCCCCGGCCCAGGCAGGGAAGGAGAGAGAAAAAGAGAGAGACTTGGCTGGATTGAAAACTAAACTACACAGCTTTAATTAAACACTAATAAATGATACAAGAAAATATATACAATTATATACAGATATATTCAGGTATGGGCAAAAGCCTCTCGCCTCCCCCCACCCCCAGCAACTCCCACAGCACCTCCCTGAACTGGGAAGAGCCCCGAGAAATCCCGGAGCTACTGCTGAAGAAAGCAGAGAATGATGAGGGTCACGAGAGCTCAAGCTTAAGGGTCGACGGTGATGGATGAACAGAGTCCTCCCTGGACACCGGCCATGGATGGAAGAGAAGGGAAGAAGAAGCAGGAAGGAAGTTGTCTTCTGTGATCTCTGACCTTCCTCCGAGTTTACGTAGATATATGGAATGGAATATCTTTGGCCAATTTTGCTGTCTGTCTAACTCAGCCTCCTACGGGGGGGTCACAGATCTCCCCATAGTGTCTGAGTCGGCAGAGTGAAGGTGCGACCTTGAAGCCTCAGTAGTTAGAAAAACATTCCAGTGCCTTATCAGCCTAGAAGAACACACTGTTGCTAGTTAAAAGAAAGCTTACTGAAGAAAAAAAAAAAAAATCAGTAAAAAGAAAAATTGGATTCATCCTGGCTCAAACCAGGACAACGCTGAAGTGGCAACAGCTCATTTCAACGCAAGAGGCACAAGCTGGAACATGTGAAGCTCCATTTAAATATGAGAGAAAACTTCCTTACCATGAGGGTGACACAGCACAGGAACAGGCTGCCCAGGGAGGTTGTGGAGTCCCTTTATCTGGAAATACTAACAATCCACCTGGATGCAGTCCTGAGTAACGTGCTCTAGGGGATCCTGCTTTAGTAGAGGGTTGGACTAGATGATCTCTAGAGGCCCCTTCCAACTCTGACCATTCTGTGATTGTGATTCCAGAATCCAAACTGTGAAAAGGTCGCTGCTGTTACATCACCTAATGTAAAGCTAGTTCAGAAGTATGTATCTGAAAGCGTTATCAAAGAAATTAGCAGGTCACTGATGAGTAGTAAGAACCCACATCTCACCAGTTTCTCAGGTATTCTTCAGATTCTTCTAGTTTTCAATTGAAGTGCTTTTATCCCCCTCTTATTTACAATGCCAAAATATAAAATATATTATTCATGCTTCATACAACTATCAGCCTTTGTAAACAAACTTCCACTTCTCACACCAGTGTAAACCTATTGACTACAATGAATTATCTCAATCACAGCCACCTCTGTTTTGAGCTTAGAATCTTGTTTCATCCACCAGCAGTTTCCACCTTCTACCACCTTTCAAAATCTAAAGACAAATGCTCCCCAGAAACACTGTTGTAGTATCACTGCAGTCACTAATGGAAGGTTATGCAGATGTGATTTACATTGTCTTAACAAAATGGCATCATATCACTTCTCTGAGCAATTACAAATCACAAGATTTTCAAATAAAGGCTGACTAGATGAAGTTACATTGAAAAAAATACAGCTATCATGAAGCACAGTGTTGAAACCTGGCAGCTCAGCATGCAAACTTGTTAATGATGAAGGCGATGGACTTCCAGTGGACACATCTAATGGATGAAGCACACAACCCTGTTGGAGCAAGCAGGAATTCCACTACTGTTCTACACTACTGGTTTGAATTTGGGCTATCCTCTGCAGAGATAGGCATTTTGGAGAGCAACACCTCTCTAGTAGTGGCTTTTCAGGAAGCTGGGAACCGTAAAACACCTAACAGGAATAGATAGAACGTAACTACCTCACAGACCTGCACAGTATTTACAAAGCAAATGCAGATGATACAGCATTTATAAGAAAATATGACTTAAGATGGGGACAAAATGTGTGTGTTAGGTGACTGCTTGTTTTAGGGGTTTTTCTGCCTTTAAAAAAAAATTGCAAGGGAAAAATTAATTCCAATATATGTGATGCTTATAGACTTGTACATGTGATAAGTTAGCTAGTAAGACTAATAGTTTCCAAAGGCTTGTTTCTTGGCTAACTGTACAATATCCTTTACATGTTTTGTAATTGATAAATAATAGAGCTACGGAATTTCAGGATAACAGAACTCAAGAAATCAAACTAATACCAGCTGAAACATAATACATTGGCAGAGTTCTAATTCCTTTGTAAGAAGAAACCTAGCTTTTTCAAAGACTTTATAAATAATACATGTAAACTTTCACTGGTATCCACCTTTCAAATAACAAAAAAGCTGTGTGAATAAGACTAGATCAACTAAAAATACTCCTTTAATAAGTATGTACCAGCAGAAACTTCCCTCTAAAATATTTTATTAGTGAAATGGTACCAAAGATAACAAGTATACAAACAAAGTCTTTGCTCTATACTACTTACACATCATAAATAAGACAGCTGTTGTTGCAAGACACAATCCTTCACAGTCTTCCTGTAAGCATACAGATTTCATTCTTTTATCAGAATAAGCTGTTCACCAGCCAACAGCATGTGGCTTAAACATCACAAAAATGACTGTCTATACTTTACATGGTAAAGCATTTTCTATAGATTTAAATGTACACAGTGGCAAGAATGTTAAATAGGTATTGAAAATGAAGAGTGATTAAGCAGCTTCACAGTCAGACTGTGTTTCATTACCTTAGGAATTGGGCAATTTTTTTATCCCCTATAATATGTGTGGGTTTTTTTGCAGAATTAACTATGCAAAAGAACATAAAAACAAACTGAAAGCAAATAGTTAACATGCTATTAAGTTTTGTGGTTTTTACTGAAGGAAATAACTCTCCCCATGAGGTAAGGCAATTAAGTAATCTGATTGTATTAAGTTGTATTAAAAATAATCTACTTGATTTTAGGCCTAAGTAAGAAATCTCATGCAGCCAATTAAGTTACATGAGAAACTAAGCCATGTTTAACCTTGACAAAAATACTCACTTTGTCATTCTCTTCCTACAGGCTTTCTCCCCAAAGGCTGAAAAAAGAATCTCTGCCATATAACTCCTGTGTAAATTAGAACTTTTTTCCCCAAATTACTTATCCCCCTCTTCTTTGCATACAATTCCTTTTATATCACCCAACCGGTACCAGAGAAGATGATGAAGAGGTAACATTAAGGCCACCCAAATGTAGCTAGAAAGTCCAACATGCTGTCTTTGACATAGATGATCAGCAAATACTTTGTACTCAGCTACTACTTTTGTACAGTGGTGGTCCCCAACGGCATCTTTGCTTTAATCTATGAAGTCTTCTAAAAATAAAAAAGAATAGAGCTTTCGGAGCATTAGTATTTTAACAAGTGAATCAAACAACCGTTCTGACAAATCACTTGCATTCTTTTCTACAGTATGGTGGTGGCAAAATAGCAAGAGAGATTATGTAAAGTTTAGCTGAAAATTAATAATAGCACATATACATTTCTAAAAAATACCACATTTTAAGAAGGCACTAAAGCTTCTGCTTGTGCTCCCCATATTTTTTTAAACAAAAAAAGAAAAAATTATTCTCATAATGGCACCTGTACTATTTGCAGCTGAACAAACACTGCAGTACGGCTCAAAACAAAGCTGCAAGTTCTGATAACATCATACAGATGTGCTCACTTCTGCAAGGACAAAAGAAAACAACAGAACAACCCCAAAATAATCCAGTAAGCTAATCTATTACCTATAACATGGAAATGTTCCTTTTAGGAATAGAAAAGAAGCATGCATTGTTCAAATATGTTAAATGAAATATTAACTGTAGGCATATTAGTAAGAAATTATTTTAAATAATAAACCCCAAGAATCTCAAGCAGTAAGCAAAAAAAAAACATACTAGTACGTAAGTATTTAACAGAAATGTCATAAAACTGTTTATGCCTATAAAACCTTTCCTTACAGTTGTCATG